AAAACCGGAACAAAATGGCGTTGCTGAGAGGATGAACAGAACCCTAAATGAACGAGAATGAGAATACATTCTGTACGTTGATGATATGGTAATTGCAGGATATAGCATAAATGAGATCAACAGGGTTAAGTAACAACTGGCGGAGGAGTTTTAAATGAAAGACTTAGGACCAGCTAAGCAAATGCTTGGGATGAGGATTAGCAGAAACAGGTCTGAAGGAACCTTAAAATTGTCTCAAGAAAAGTACATATAGAAGGTACTAAGCAGGTTCAGTCTTCATGATGCAAATACCAGAAGCACTCTGCTCGGAAGCCATCTTAATCTGTCGAAGGACCAATCACCTAAGACAGATGAAGAAAGGAAGTACATGTCCAAAGTTCCATATGCTTCAGCAGTAGAAAGTTTGATGTATGATATGGTTTGCACTAGACCTGACATAGCCCATGCAGTTGGAGTTGTCAGTAGATACATGTCAAATCCAGGAAAGGAGCATTGGAAAGGTGCAAAATGGATATTGCGATATCTCAAAGGCACCTCAGGTATGGCACTTTATTTTAAAAGAAGCAATATTATCTTACAAGGTTTTGCTGATGCAAATTTAGGCGGCTATCTGGATAGTCGAAAAAGTACCACAGGCTACGTGTTCAGCTTGGGTGGTACTGCTGTTAGCTGGATGTTTAGACTTCAGAAAAGTGTTGCTCTATCTACCACTAAAGCAGAGTACATGGCAATCTCAGAATCTGGAAAAGAGATGATTTGGCTCAAGAATTTTCTTAAAGAGCAGGACAATTGTGAGCTTTTCAGCGATAGCCAAAGTGCAATTCATCTTGCCAAGAATCCAATGTTTCATACAAGATCGATACATATCCAGTTGAGGTATCATCATATCCGAGAGTTGATAAGTGAAGAAACTTTTTTCCTGCAGAAGATACCAGGATCAAAGAACCCATCAGACATGTTGACCAAAGTTGTCGGTGTTGACAAACTGAGACTGTGCACTGCCTCAGTTAGCCTTCAAGACTGATAGCATGAAGGCGCCACCAAAGAATATCAAATCTTTTTTTAATTTTTTTCTTGATGTAACATAGGTTTGAGGGGGAGATTGATAGTAGCAAACCTGTTGTTGTATGTGAAAGAAAGAAAAATAGACAAAACAAAAGAAAGAAAAATCAAAAAGAGATGAACTTATGATGTAAGCGCTTACATCGGCATTCTTATGATATATTCACTTACATCGGCATTCGTATGATGTAAGCGCTTACATCGGCATTCCTATGATGTAAGCGCTTACCTCAGCAGGGCATTCAAATGCCTATAAAAAGGGTATGCATTTTCATTTGCAAATCATCCCTCAACTTCTTCTTTCTCTCTTCAATTAATAAAGAGTTATTCTTTGTGTGGCCGTGGAGTAGACAAAATTACCGAACCACATAAATCTTATCTTGTCTTGTCTTGTGCAATTTATTACTTTTCTCTTTCAAATATTTTTCCCTTCTATTAGCCTGACACGTTTCCCAACATATTAAGAGTCCACCAAACTATATAAAAAATCTGGTTCTTTATCAGTTCCCAAGAACACACACACAGTGGTAAGTAAATAATACAATAATATTTTATATGGAAAACTCCCAGCTCACGGGATTAAAAATCACGACCTACACTCGTACGAATTCAACTTGACTAATCGAGCAACTTTAGATTACAACCTATTGTAACCTAGGAATTAAATTCTTAATCCCTCACTTACTTGCAATAACTATATTGCAAGCCTCTTTGTAATAACTCTATTACAAAGCAACAAGTCTTGACTAACTCTAGTCAAGAAACTAAACAAAACAGTAGTTTAAATCTGTCCTACAAAGATACTTTTTGAAAGTAGTGTAGGATTACAAAAGAAAAATAAATAACAAAGACTCAACAAATCTAAGGACTTAAGATATCTTCAACAAATCTTTGGATCTTGTACTTGAAGTTGCAACAGCTTTGTTCTTAAGAGAGGTGGTGACTAGCACTTGAGAGAGAAAATTAATTTTAGGTTTTGCAAGTGTTAGTTGAAATCCCTTGCCTCATGTTGATAATATAAGAATGAGGTTATCAAGACGATGCAAGGGATTGACCAGTACACTGCATGCTTCAACAGTGTTGTTGTACTATTGCGTGTACAGTGCAGCAGCTTTAACAACTGTTAGATATGACTTGTACTGTCACAAGAGGAACTGATCTCTATTTGTTTCCTCTGCCGTTCCCTTAACTAATTTCATTGGAACTTGTGCCAGACATTTGATTTGTTCTGAGCACGGGGAGGTTTTGTATCAGATTCCCTATTTGATTTTTATATGAAGTTTGTTAAATCATCAAAACACAAAGGCACATAACTTATATTGAAGTTCCCCTGAGAACCAGATCTCCATATTGTCACCCCTGCAGAATAGCCATATTCCCCTTGAGAACCTTTCCCTATCTGGTTCTCATATGAAGTTTGTTAAATCATCAAAACACAAAGGCACATAATTTATCAATCTGTATATGACCAATAGAAATCTGTAGCCATTATAATTTGAATGACTTATTTGGCATTACGGTAGTAGAACAGAACACTAAAATATAGTTGAAATTTTTGTTAATTTTGATAGTATTAAACATTTTGAAACACTAGATCTGAAGAAGAAACAGGTAAAATTTACTAACATATATATATATATATATATATATATATATATATATATATATATATATATATATNTACGTTCCTGGCATAATTGAAGATGAGAAGACAAACAACCAAAGGGTACTGTGCTTCCAACAAGTAAGCTGGAACTACACAAATTAGGAGATGCAGCTCCTTTTTCAGGTTAATCTAACTTAGCGATGCGGTCGGGTTCTTCTAATTCAGGTGGTGGAAACTGGAAAGTAGTCCACCTGCATTTCTAAATCTAGTGCAACCAATTTCATGATCAATTTCACTAGGGCATTGCTCCTCTAGCTACCTTATGTGAGTATCATAGTGGTCAAAAACATTATATCAAGGGTAACTTCTCTCTCTATATATATATACATGAATAGCCTTCTAAGGTTCTCCCTTGTTATCGTTGTCATGTCCACGTCTTTGTTGTCCATGTATACCCACAGGTCCCGAGTTTAATTACCCTTTTAAGGGACATGACTATGACCTTGAACTCCTGCAATGCGTTGTATTAGATCATTTCTTATTATACATCATATCATATGTAAGTAACTGGACAAGCAATACTAGCACAATAGAAGGGAGATATAATGCTGAATGTACATGGATTTTCAAACTTATGGTGGGAAACAAAAAAAAACCCTTCTATTCAATATCTCTATGGGGTAAAAATGGAGTTTTTTGTATAGTAATAAAGTACAAATTAATTTTGAGTTGAAGCAGCCGGTATATAGTACTCCTCCCGTTTCAGGTATTTGACCAAGTTTAAAAAGAGAGACTTTTGAAACTCATGATCTTAAACATGCCATGACATTTCTGAGCATGTAAAATCATGGATTCCATTTATGTTCCCCATTCTTTGTTTCTGAAAATATGTATGTATAGGAAAGGTTGAGTGAGTTTAAGTTCCACTAGAAAATAACTATGTTTGTTTGCTATGATAACTTACTTTTGGTGTGAAGGGTACATAGTAGTGAAAAAGACACGTGTTTTTTAAGGATCAACTGTTGAATCAATCCAATTTGCCCATGTTCTTAATGCTACTCTCCGTAAGAAACTGTTGTATTTAATTCTTCATAACCTTCTTCTCCGTTTTCAAATTCACCCCACCTGCATTGTTTTGATCAATTTAAGAGACAAGCGCTACATGGTCTGAACTCTGAAGGATTCAATTTAATCCATTTCCTTCGGAAAATTATACTTTCCATATAAGTGAAAAGATTTTCTTGTGTATACAGTGGCGGATCTAGGATTTTTAAATAATGGGTGCTCAACTAATTTTTATTTTTAAATTTCTACTTAGATTGGGTGCTCAGTTAATATATTTGTGTCAATTACTAGTTTTTCTATACAAGTATAGTATTTGTCTCCAAAAGTAATGGGTGTTTAAGCACCCATAATATATAACGTAGATCCGCCATTGTGTATATATAAAATTTTGTTGAATTCCCATGCCGCCGGAAACTTTTAGTTTAGTGGTGAAGGGTTACTCAAAAAATGTTTTAGGTTGCATGTTCAAATTCCAAATGTGGAAATCAATATTCTTTTGAATCCCCTTAATAAAATTTCTGGCTCCAATGTTATAATTGAAGAACTTACAGTGCCTTAGTCTTGAGTCCACCATCCACCAAACATAAGTCTTGAAAACAAGGATGCCTGCTCCTAACCAATGTTTGGCACGCTCTGCAGTTGAGTCCACTTTGATTATTCTCTGATTTGGATCACTTTTGATAGGAATATCTGTGTTAGACTCAACCAAAAATGGTGCCCAATAGAACTCAATTGTTGCATCATATTCCTGACAAATAAGTGAAAATTAGATTTTCCAAACTTCAAACCCATAAATTATAAGCAAATTCTTGAACAAGTTAGGTTTTTTATGTTTGAGTTATGTGGTAATATACCTTAGCTTTGAATATAGAGTGAACGCGGCCACGTTCCAAACTTCAAACCCAATAAAGATTCCCATTGATTTCTCTGTAGTGAATCCCCTATAAACATTAGTCTCTTTCCTCGAAGCTATTTGAGGGCAATCTCAGGATCAAACGTGAATATTGAGTCATTTCACGGAACTATCTTACTTCATCATTATAAGAAAAAAGATCTCCATTTTGTTATCAATATATCAGTTAAGTATGCAGAGGCAGATCTAGGGCGACTCATGTAGTTTTAATTGAACTGATTGCTTTTATCTCGAATTATGTATACATATAGAAAAAAAAAATAAGTTTAAAATATAACATATAACAAGATCACACTTACTCTGAACCCAGTGACTTTAAATCCTGAGTTTACCTGTGCAAGTATGCATGCTTCTGGATAGTGTTGAAACAAGAATCAAGAATCCTACTATTTCTTTCATTTTGCAATATGGTAATTTACTTACAGAAATAGAAAATTAAAATTGATATTTTAAGTAACTTGCTAACCTTGGCAACATACAGTCATCAGGCTGTCATTCCCAGTATCGATAATCTGAATCATTTCGGCCATTCTTAATACAAGAATATTGTTTATCTATATAAGGACAAATCCTGTCTGAATACAATGGCTTGATTGAAGTATTAAAACCCCATTTCCCATGAGTGACACTACATTCATCACGATCAGAATCAAGACTATCGTCTGCTGGATTGTCTAGTGGATCGCTCTCCAATTCTCTATTATCTATTAATCCAAGAAAGAAAAAATATATCAGCACGACAAAAAAGTAGAACGAAAGCAGTTGAGATCGACAAGCTGGTGTGCACCTGCAGAATTTCTTTTGGGACAAGGCTTAAACCTTAAAATAGAGCCAGAAGAAATAGTACTGATCATCTCAGTGTACAAGAGAAAAATGAAGGTTAAAATACAGATAATGGCTGTGATTATGAGTTTTCTTTTGACAGTTGTTGTCCATCCCATATTGGAAGGAAAGATATGCACTAATTCACAATGGAGAAGCAGAGAAAAGCTTAACTGCAAGATGAAGCAAGGCAAAGTGATTGGAGGGATAAATGTAAGTGCAACAAAATGATGAAACATGAGAGTTTTAGGAGGATTATTTTTTGGAGTGAAGTGAAAGTAATGCATTGGTTGGGGCAGAATATATTATATATATACAGTAAGTTGGCCGAGAGCATCATTTTGAGCTTTCAAACGACTCATGTGTGGTGACAATGTTGAGAGTTTTGGAAACTCTTCTTTTTAGAGTCCACCCCCTGATTGTGAATTCAGACAAAACTAACAATAAATGATTAGTCAACAGAGATGGATCTAGGATTTGAATTTTATGGGTTAGAATTCTAAATTCTACCACAACCATTCGAGGGTAAGGATATTTTTAGCTTCCAAGAATTTCTTGCAAAAAAGTGTTAAAAGTTTTGACCTTCCATAAAAAGTTTATTGTTTTGCAAAATAATTATTGATTAAGCACTCTTCTGCTAAAACTACAAACTCCACCTAAAATCATTTACTGAATTGCTTTACTGTATTCTCCAGGAGTTCATCTAAGATGGTTAACTGTAAATTAAAGATGACTAAGTTCACTTCTTATTTGCAGCAAACACTATACAGGTCCATATATATATATATATATATATATAGTGATTACTTATAACTATGAATTAAGTTTCATATTCAAGGAATAGGCTTCATTATCCTATTATCTTGTCAAATGTCAACTAATTCACTGTTATATTTCGAGTTTAATAATAAAGTGTGATGTTGGCTTCCATCTCTGAACCGTTATGCCTAATTAGCTACTGAAGTGCTAAAGACAGACGTATACAAGAAGATAACCTAATTTTTTTTCTTTTTCTTCACACTAGCTAATCATTCTCTTTCGTTGGTCCTCATTTGTCTAATTGGCCATGATAATCAAATATAGTAGAAAAAGTTAAGCAATTTCAGTTCCATATAAATGCTTTAACTGAGTTAAATTTGGCCAAAGGTTAAGATACGACTAATAAGGAAAGAACTATAGTCCTATTTTGATTTTGATTTTGATTTTCCATTTTCTACTACTTATTTTACTTTAATACTATTTGTAGATTTTATTGCAGGCATTAGATGTGGTTGTCCTTACTTTACTTCTTGCCGAGTAGGGACCATTACTTTATCTAGTTTTTTTTTTAATTATTATTTTTAAATCTCTTGAAATGGAATAGTTTATTTATACAAATAATTAATGTTTTCTAAACTCTAAAACATTACCTAATTACCAGCTAACTAGAATAAATAACATATCAACACGTCTAAATGCCTCCGCTAAGAAATTGATTAGTTCATACAAGAAAATTATATATCAACTATACAAGAATTGTTAACTGCAATATGATAAAGGATGATGATTGTATTTGCTGCGAAATGTTTGATCAATTGTATTACCTAAAATATTAAAACCATGGGTACTCCAATAAATTTAATGTTATATTGCTACAATTTGGTATAAATGTACAACTAACTTGGTAAAATATTTAATATGTAAACTGAAAATAATATTATCATCGAAAAGATAGATCATTCTATTATTATTCTCAACGTTTTTCATATTTTAAAAATGATGAATAATAACATCATTTCTCATATTAGATTTATTTCAAATTATAAATATTTAGTGCAAGATTAACATTAGATATAACATAAATTGAATATTTTGATTTATTCACACATATTAATAAAAAAAAGTTTGACCCATTTTTTGGGTCAAACTTAAAATAAAAAGAAAAAAGTGAAAACCCATTTTTTTTAGAAAATAATAATTGTCTCACATATTTAAGCATTCCACGTTGGTTCCAGACAATCCAGTCTTCAGATCAATCATTGGAGAATCATTAATGTAGCGTTTATCGACGCAACTTTCTTAAATCCCCTTTGATTATCTGATAGACTCCATTAATTCTTCCCAAAAACCCATTCCAAATTTGACATTCCAAAAAATGGAAATTGAAGCAAATTCAATTCAACATTTTAAGCTATGGAGCCAATTGGAATTACATGAATTTGCAGACAAATTCGTTATCCGTTCAACGGAATCTCCAATTGAAGGCTTCTCCGTTAACCGCTTCGATGGAACCATCCACAAGCTCAATGGTGAGTTGCAGTTTCATCTTCCGTTTTAAAAATTACTTTAATGATCAATTATTTGTGATTTTATTAGTTTCTAAATGCTTAAAACAATTTTTTAGGTAATATGAGCTTTGGAAATCCTTCAAAAGTGTCTACTATCTATGGAGTCGCTGGTACAATTAGGTTGTTGGCAGGTAATTTGGATGTTGAGGCAGTAGTTAGTAGTTACCTTCACTATCAATCAACTACCTCTTAATAAAAAATAGTTAGGGTTGGTTATATGAATACCCCGATTCCATTCTGCTATATTCATGTCCATTTTGTTACATGCTCAGAGGATTCGTCATAGCTAGATTATTTTCTATGTTGGTAAACTTCAATCTTTTTCAAACTTGCTTTTTAAGTTGCAGAAGTGTAAATAGCTGGAGGCAGTAGTTACTGCACTACCTGGTGAAAATGTGATCTGGCCAGGCTTCATTGCATGTCAACGGTTAAATATCTTTAAGAACTTCTGATGGAGAAACCTGCAAAAATCTAGAGATAGTATCTCGTAGCATCAATTATTTATTGTGTTTCCTTTATTAAGTTAAGTTGCTTTTGCTGATATTTTTATTTGGATTCATGGCGCAGACAGAGATTGATTAGTACTTTCAATACTAGAAGAAGAAAGTATTGAAAGTCCTTTACTATTTCCTTTTGTGTAAAATTATCTTCTCAAAAACAGTCGCACATTGAAACATGAAGTTTAAAATATTCATAAAATGCTCGTAAACATTTAGTTACTCTATCAAGTGTTTATAGTTGGTGAAGTGCTTGTTGTTAAAGATAAAGCCAATTAACAACTTGTTAGGGATTCCATGTTTCATGTTTATTCTAGTTAAAGGTGCATTTCCTAGGTTTTAATTTTCCTTTATTTTACCCTGACATTTTATGTCTGCATTGAAATGAAGCTTCAGTCATGCCACCACTTTTTGGGCTTTTAATTCCTTTTATTGGCTGTTGTTTTACTTGAGCTATATATCCGAGACTATAGTACTTTCCTGCCGTGGCGGAGCTAGGAGTTTCACTAAGGGGAGACAAAATATAAAAAATTAAACACACATAAGTCAAGGGGATTCAATATATAGTATATATATGCATAAAAAAAAATTATCTAGCTCCGCCACTGGTTTATTGTGCTGCCAAACCCTGTATCATATGTTTGGTTATGCATGCACAAACATTTACAGCAATACTAGGAATTGGCATATGTAAATCTTTCATCAGATCCATATCTATTACTGCATCATAAAAAGTAAGGTTGCAGTTAATATAGCTGTTTCAGATCTTCCTTGAGTGCCAACTTGATTAAACTTAGGTTGTTAACTAAGGGAATGTTTAGGAATGAAGAATGGATAATATCATGATTTAATTCCAGTTCTGTCAATATTTAGTTACACCCTTTCTTCTTTTGCAGGATCACATATATTGTTAATAACTTCCAGGAAGGAAGTAGGTAACTATCTTGGTTTTCCTGTTTTTCGTGTGATGTCCATGAAGTTACTTTCATGCAATGAGGCCTCAACATGTCTAACAAGTGAAGAAGTATGGTTCTCGTATCATAATAGCCAAACTTAAAATACTTTTTTTTGAATAATTTGTTGGTTTTTTTACTCTTTTCTCTTTTCCTGTTTCTTTTTCTTGCGCTGACAGAAAAAAGATGAAGCTTACTTCATGAATTTGTTGAGAGTAGTGGAATCAACTCCAGGCTTGTATTATTCCTATGAAACAGATATAACACTGAAGTACGTTCAAGCTGTGCTATTACCCCTACTTTTTATCAGTCTAGTCTTGCCAATGCTTTTAGTTTCAAGAAATCTAAGTATTCTTACCAGCTTGCAGAGAAGATGCAATTTGGCAAAAGGGTGGATGAGTAAACCAGTTTGGAAGCAGGTTTGTCTACTAGCTGATGCAGATTTTTGAACTCTTTCATAACATTGAATTTGTAGAATGTTATGATATTACTGCTTCCAACTGGCATGTGAACACATATTCTCTTAAGTTTTGAAAACTTGTTGCCATATGACATTATGGACTAATTTTCACCTCTCAGATTGATGTGCATGTGGGACAAATATTGCAGTGTCATATTGAACTTCTCTGCCCAATAGTTTGCTTCCCTATGAAGACTCCACCTGTTACATAGTTTTAGGAAAGACTACAGATACCAAGTAGAATTATATATTTTTTGGCACCATTCTCTTTAACAAATAAGCTCCTATCACCTTTATGCACAGACAGTATACTGTTTTTCATTAGTGTATCAAACTTGCATAGAGTTGTTTTTTTCTTGAATGATTTGGATTTGGCTTAATTTCAGGCTGATCCGCGGTTTGTTTGGAACAAAAATCTGTTGGAGGAACTGATTGAAAATAAGGTTCGTCAAAGATCTTCGTAGTCAGATACTGGGGATACATTGTCTTCTGATAAATAAGTTCCTTTTCATTTAACAAATTTTAGTATTCCATTGATTACCACAGATTCTTAAAGGTGTATTTGTCACTGATATGTAGCTTATCTAAAATCGTCTTTTTTTCTCTGTTGGTGCAGCTCGATGGATTCATCATTCCTCTTTTGCAAGGAAATATCCTGAAATTCTTGTCCCTACTCTCTCTCTCTCTCTCTCTCTCTCTCTCTCTCTCTCTCTCTCTCCACAGGTTTAAGAATATGCAATTCATAAAAGCCATATCAATGTGTGCTTGTTTCGAAAGTGCAAATACTTTTTCCTTAACCAGGATTTAAGCTTTCAGACTGGACATCTTAAACTCAAAGAATCACCAGCTACCATAGCATTGATTTCAAGGAGATGCACGCGACGCTTGGGTACATCTCCAGCACAAATTGCATTAAGCATGTCACATTGATTTGGATTCAAGCCCAAATCTGTTTTCTTAAGTTAATATTACTGTATTAATTTAGGGACACGAATGTGGAGAAGAGGGGCTAATCTAGAAGGAGACACTGCAAATTTTATTGAAACTGAGCAGTTGCTGGAGTTTGAAGGTTTCAGGTCTTCTTTTTTGCAAGTATGTATTCAAAACATGATTCCTCAGTTAAATTGCATCTCCATGGCTTTCTCATATTTTAGTTGGCATATAAGGATTTCATGATGTTGCTTCCGTGTCTAAATGACCGTTATATCTGCTTGCTCAGACGTACCCATTTCCTCTTAACAAAAAAAGAGGACACTTAAAGACAGAAATGAGAACTATTACATGAGAATAAACATGATAACTGTTTCTCCAAGAATTTGAGGGGGGGCGGGGGCAGTTATACAAAAGAAAACAGCTAATTACTTAGTCACAATGTCCATCAGTCACAACTTCATATATGCCAGTTGCTGAAATTCTAACCTAAGTTGCTCGGACACGGGTGCGGGTGTCCGACGTGGGTGCGGATATAGAGGTCGGATCCTTCGAGATGTAAATTCTAATATTCGGAGATACGGATCCTAGTACGGATATGGGTGCGGGGATCAGGCTAAAAATAATTCAAAAAAATAAAAATATTTCTAAATTATGAGAAATTTTGTGGAATACTTACGTATAGCTTGTAAAGTGTGGATTTCCTTTTTATTTTCAAGTTGTAGATAAGTAAAGGATTGATTTTCTAGATAAGGTATATTATTTTATTCAAATTTACCTTAGTTTTGATTCTGATTTTGGGAATCAAATTGTATCTCATCTCGAATTTTTCCGTTCGTCGTGGTCAAAGTACCCAAAATTGTTTGACCAGATCCGGTACGGATCCCATACCCACACCCATACTAGTGTCGTGTCGACACGGGTGCGGCACCTAAACTGCCGTGTCGGAGCAACTTAGGTTCAAACTTCACTGAAGAACTACTTATTTGGTGTTCCTTTGTTTCACCAGAACATAAATGTGAAAAATGGTGCCATTGTATGGTACAACTCTTCAAAAGTGATTGGCTTTTACAAAGATGCAAACCATTTAAAATGTTGGGACAGGAAATTCTTGTAAAGGAAAGTAGAGAACTTATATAGCTTCACTTGCATTTTTTTCGGTACTTCTCATTTTCAATTTCTCCATGTTTTCCATTAGTAATTGCCTTTTTCTTTTTGTTTTGTAAACCTCAGCCCAATCATAGCCCCTCCCCAGGCGCTAACTGTGGTTCTTCCCTCCTTCCCCTTGGTGAAGTGGAGTGCTATCTCTTTACTGAAAACCCTTACATGTGTATTTGTAGTAAATATATTATTTCATGTTTTAGTTGGCAGCATTTTCAGTATGTACAGTCATTCAAATCACATTTAATATTCTTAGTTGAAGTGTATTAAAAATTTACGAGAGCAAATGTTGTATTAATTACTTTCTTAACACTATTAACATGCTATGCATATATGAATGCACATATGCTGTATTAATTACTTTCTTAACACTATTACTATGCTATGCATATATGAATGCACATATTTTCTGCATCACAGAAAATATCTATGATTTGCCAATCTTTTATCATTGGTTCTAGTTTGGAAGCATATTTATCATTAGGCATGAGAAATGAGAGAGAAGGTGAAGGGGACACAATTTTGTGGTCTTTAATTTGTCATGTCACTCCTATAAAATTGGAAGGGTAGAGTTTCAGAAAAAGGAAAGCTTATTAGATAAAATTGAATGGAGGGAGCAGTACATGTGTGTACTACGATGATTGTAGATGATTTTATGCTAGTTCCTAGAAAGCGTCTTTTCTTTGATAAAGTGTCAATTTATCCTATGTATTTGCTCCTCTTGTGAAAACTTCATATGTGATGGGACATACAATGCAACTTACAACAACAACAAACCCAGTGTAATCCCACAAGTGGGGTCTGGGGAGGGTAGTGTGTACACAGACCTTACCCTACCTTGAGAAGGTAAAGAGGTTGTTTGTGGTAGACCCTCGGCTCAAAGAAAGATGAAAAAGAAACATAGCAACAAGCAGTAACACCAGCAATCTAATTAGAAAGTCGAAGCAAAAGAAACACCAATATTACTGGTATAGACAAGGAAAACGCTCGACTACCTAACCTTCTACCATGATTCTCGAACTCCACATCCTCCTGTCAAGGATCATGTCCTCGGTAAGCTAAAGCTCAAAGGTCATGTCCTCGGACATATATTGCAACTTGATTTTCATAAATGACCTTTATCTAACTTATGTATCCAAGCTTGAATTACTAAGCAAGATAGCTTTGTCCATGTGAGTTCAAATGTTGCTACTGCCATGGCTTGTCATTCAGCTTCCATGCTTCTTATAACTATATTTTGCTTTTTACTCTTTCCAGATAAAGATTACCCCAAAACATAATACCCAGAGGTGGAAGCTCAATCTGAGGGTGAACCTTGTCCAATTTGCATTTGTAGGGAAAACAGTTTATCCGCGTCCTTTAACGTTGGGAAGTAGTCCTTTTCATGGGACTTTCTAATGTCTCTGGTGATTGCCTATGAGGAACTAGTGTTTGTTTCTCACAACTGCTTTGATATACTATGTAAAAATGGGAGAAGAGATAGGGAGAATAAAGAGAGCACGCACCACACTCCTACTATATCAGGGCCTTTAGCTTTCACTGAGAAGAAGAGATCACTTCTAGCTAGCTTTTTCGCCTAACCCTAACCAATGAATGATAGGCTGGGTTAGGCTAATTGAAAACGAATTGACTTTCAGTAATCGGAGGCAGGTCATGTGCAAACAATGTTTTACAGCCAGGGATTTTTTATAGATCTGTACAAAAGAATAGTTCACTTATAGAGAGTGCAATTTTAACAAAATGTGAATTTCAAGGATCTAAGCATTGAGAAACCATGTCTTTTGCATTTCAGGTTCGAGGTTCTATTCCACTCTTGTGGGAGCAAATAGTTGATTTGAGCTATAAACCACGGCTTAATATTATCTATCATGAGGAAACAGTATGTACTTACTCTTCATTATCTCTATGTCAAATCTTCTAGTGTATGAAATATGAGAAATTGCCTTTCCTCCGTTCAGCCGAAAGTTGTGGAGCGCCACTTTCATGATCTTTTGCAAAGATATGGCGATGTCATTGCAGTTGACTTGACAAACAAGGTAAAAAACTTTTCTGTTGATGTTTGGTTCATTAAATAGCTTTGATGTTCATAATATGGACCTTTTTACAAGCATCAACTCTGGAGAATGCTTTCAAGCATACGTGTATCCATGCTCAAGTTTCATTTATCCATCTTACTAAGTTTTTTGAATATATCAGGAAGGAGAGGTTGCTTTTTTTTTTTTTTTTTTCTCTTTTTTATATTTTCTGTCAGGGTATTTCCTAAACTCCGATTACTATAATCTAAGGCCCTACTTTGCATTCTAAGATATCTCAATCCTTATGAATGATGAAATTTGTGTAAAACAGTAACTGTTTATTTCATTTCTTGTTCTTGATAGTCATAGCAGTCATGTTCCACAGTAAGCTGGTTTTTATGAGACTCCACTTAGCAATTTATACTAATTTTACTGCTACAGGATCTAGCTCTTTTAATGACACATTTACAAATATCTTGATTATTTCCGTTTTCTCTTTTGCAGCTAGGTGATGAGGGTCTATTAAGTTCAGCTTATGCAACAGAAACTCAAAAGCTATCAAGTGTGAGGTGACTGACTCTTTTAAACCTTTATCTATATGAGACTGTAAGATCATTTCCATTCCATAGTTTCATAATGCCTGAAGTTAGAAGTTGGAGAGAGAAGTAGAGAAGTTAACAGTTGGCTACCATACTGACGATATAATAGCTATCATCACATTCCTGAAGTTAGTAGATGTACAGAGAAGTGGAGAATTATATAGTTGGCTACAGTTACTTCTGATATGGTGGTCATCATCAAAGTCAGTAGACATCTGGTTAAAAGATTGTCCATCCTTCATTCTGATCAAAGGATGGGATTGGAATATTATGCACAGTTTCTACAGTTAGCAATATGTGAACTGTGTTATAATAGTTGTTTAGTCTGTTTTCAAATCAATATTTCAGCAATTTTGTGCCTACTGCACTGCAATTAGATTTTTTGAAGTATTGACTACTCAAATTCAAAAACTAATTTCTTGATTTCTGTCTCAGATATGTGTCGTTTGACTTTCATCACTGTTGTGGGGGCTCAAACTTTGAAAAAATACAACTTCTGTATGATCAGATCTCGGAGGATTTTGAGAAGCACGGGTAAGAATAAAACTAGAACAACAGTGACACTGTTAGCCAGGAAAAGATGCTTCTATTTGACAATGTTGAATCTCCATGATACTGTTTTTTTATCCCCTAAAATTCACTAATCCAGCTGAGCAGATACTTCCTCATAGACACAGAAGAGAAGATACTAGCGGAGCAGAGAGGAGTTATTAGATCGAACTGCATTGACTGCCTAGATCGGACAAATGTTACTCAGGTTGGAAGAAGCATGTCAATGTTCTTTATTCGATAAAACAAGTCCTTAAAATGCTCCAATCACTCATAATATTGTTTATTTTATATGATAATTTCCCTTGTGCTTGCCCTTTATAGTCTGCTGTTATCTTGTGCAGAGCTACCTGGCTCAGAAGTCTTTGAATTCACAACTGCAAAGACTTGGTGCACTTTCGTCGAATGAGTGCATTTCTATGTTCAGTGAAGATTTTGAAATCTTTAGGACTAGTATGGACTCTGTAAACTTGGTGATCCTATTGATTCATACTTGTATTTGTTGTCTACTTAGTCTTCTTAGTCCTGTAATATTTGCAGTGTGGGTGGATCAAGGTGATGAAATCAGCCTGGAATATTCTGGAACACATGCTCTAAAGCGGGACCTTGTCAGGTAATGCATAAAAATATTTTGGGTTTAAGTTAATCAAGCAAAAGCATCATTTTTCTACTCTATTTTACTTGAAACTGTACCAGATATGGAAAACAGACTATGACAGGACTTATACAAGATGGGATGAGTGCCCTTTCAAGATACTTCTTGAACAATTTTCAGGATGGAGTTCGTCAGGCATGCTGCAGACACTTATAATCTTATTATGAAATGATCTTCTCTTATTTATTCTCTTTACACTGCAAGTGAGATCACCATGTACTTTCCATGCTTTTGCAGGATGCGATGGACCTTATAAGTGGTCGCTATAGTGTTAACAGGGGAAGCCCCTCCCGTGTCCAGCATAATGGATTAGAATCACTCAGTGTAAGCAATCACTGTTTCTTAGTAAATAACCTAGATTATAGCAGGCCTTCTCCATCTTCTATTGAATATAGTAGAATCAAGAATCTTATTGTTTTGTCTTCACAAAGTTAAATCTCTTTCTATGACGATATTGCTGCTTTTACATGTTGTGTGGTGCAAACTTGTTATAGAAGTTTCCCAGAAAATGATTATCAATGACCAGATTATACTGAAAAAGCATCAATCCATTCCAAGTGGTTGCTTGTCTGAAAAATAACTGCTGACTTGTTGCAGTAATTTACCCAAGTCATTTTACTTCTTTCCTTTTGTACCACATTATTACACTGACTATCGGTCATATGAACAAATATTTGCAGTATCTACCTGTAGCATCAGCTCTTTTAATTGGAGGATTGACCGTGACCACCATCACGATAAACCAAGGTATCATTTTTACTTTCAGTTTTTCTTTTTTAGAGCTGAATGAGATTGTCAGTATGCTGTATTTGCTGAGTTTTATCTCATAGTTTCATTTCTCAAAATTCTAATTTTGCATAATCTACTTTGAGTAGCAGGACGAAATACAAATACCTATTTGTCCTCTGTGCTCTGTGCTGGTGTAACTGCTGGAGTTATGGCAATTGTCAAAGCAAATGGAAGGCAAATCTGCTCAAGACCTCGATTATGTGGACTGCTGTAAGTTTGAGCATCATATTATAGTAGATATCCAGAACCATGAGGCATCTTTGCTCCATGGACCTTGGCTGCTATTGAAGCCTAAATGGAACCAAGTCGTCAAAGAATTTGGGAACTAGGAGGACGAAACTACGCCAGGAGCAACATGCACTGTTGTAAATTATAATGAAACATCAGAAAACCTCTTAGCAAATCGGAAACATGACTGATTATCTATATTTTGCTTGTACTAAATTTGACTTAAACATGGCTGGAAGTTCAATGTTCCCATAATGTTTACATCCTGATCACAGGAATTGATGATCATATATTTGCATTGTGTCAAACAGTTGAAGCAAAGTATGAATATCCAAACATGGCATACAATTAGCTGTAATGGAAGTGTAATTAGGTGCTTTCAAATGCTTTATGCTCCCACCTCTTTATAGTGATTTGTTCATTTCAATTAAATTTTCAGGTTGACACTATTTTCCCAAATAGCCACATATTGCTTTTGAGTTTGAAGAATAGAACTTAAAAGATGAAAATGTTGCATCGTGAAATTAAATATTTTTCCGACACTTCTGAGAAGAAGTGTTGCATTGTGAAAATTAATAATCACCGAGCCTAACAAGATGACGATAGATGAAAGACATTAAAAAGCCTTTATGGTGGTTCCTAAGGACAAATTAATTGGCCCAAATATTAAAGGACCGATTGGCATGTTTTTGTTGCTTTAATTTTTAACCAAAGATGTTTTTGTTACTAAATTTGAGTAATTTGGTGGTACTAAGCTTATGTCAACTTTATTCATTTGCAGTAGCCTTGAAAAATTCATATACATTTGGACCTACTACAAGCAGTACCCGATGGGAGACATGGGTGTTACATTCTTCATTTGTCTGACTGGTGTAAAATGAATAAGAGGTATTTGGTTTTGGTGTGAATTTTTCAAAATCTATTCAAATAAGAAAATTTATATTAAAATCAGAAAGATAACTGTGCATACCAGCTTGCATAGCAAATCGATACATATAATGAACAAGTTCACATATACAATGTTTGCTTTATTACAATAGACCTCTTTATCATTATGATCTAAAAGGGATTAAATATTCTTGAGTGAGTTCCCTTTTGCACAAGTATTCTAGATGTGCACTGAATTCACCAGAATAACTTCCAGAAAATAGGAAGATGGTTGAGATACTACAGGCGACTTTTTGGCCTCAATGTTGCTGGCTTGAAGCTGGGAAGACCAGTAATTTCTCTACCTGTTACCAGTGTGTTGATATCATAAGTTCCCTCGTACGTATAGATAGGCTCCAAGTCGCAGAATGCCTACAGACATTGACAGATATGGAGAAAATGAGACCAGAAAAAGTAAGCTGTTGTCGACATGATCTATACAACTCTACAAGTAAATACAATAGGACTTAAGTATTCTCTGATTTGCATCTAAGAAGGGAAGTTAGCATTGAGTGTTCATCCACAAACCTTTGCCACTAGAAAGTCAGCCAAGATACCATTGCCACCAAGTAATTCCCGTCCAAGAGAAACCGTCTCTCTCGCCCTCAAGGAAATCCATGACTGGAAACAAGCAACTAGTTATCAGTCCAAAAGGTCACATACAACCACCCTTAACATCTGAAGAATAAGGTCTTACTTTCCCCAAGCTAGCTTGACCAGGAGTCATTTTTCCACTCTCATACAACTTGCAAAGGCGCCAACCAACAAGAAGCATAGCCTGAATGTTGCCCAACATCTGAACCAGTTTCTGTTGATTGATCTGGAAAGCAGCCAGTGGAGCTCCAAATTGCTTCCTCTCTTTTAAATACCTTGAAGTTTGACAGATAATTTAGCCCAGACAACTGTTATACTAGGGGAACTTTATAATATATTAATGAGAAGATAGACAACACAACAGAGGGCTAATGAAAGTTCTTCTAATCCGCTGCATGGTAAAGATATCCTAAATAGTAACTTCTAGGACCACTTTATCTTCAATTACTTACTTTCTGAGAGAATCAAATATCGAACCCCATCATGAGTAAAAACTTCTTTGCTTGATAACCTGACTGTTCTATTTTGAAGTAGATAAAATTTCATGACATATGATATAACTTGACTGTTCTATTTTGAAGTACATAAAATTTCATGACAGATCGTTTGACTGATGTGACATTAAAGATACAATATAGGACCACTTTATCTTCAATTACTTACTTTCTGAGAGAATCAAATATCGAACCCCATCATGAATAAAAATTTCTTTGCTTGATAACCTGACTGTTCTATTTTGAAGTAGATAAAATTTCATGACATATGATATAACTTGACTGTTCTATTTTGAAGTACATAAAATTTCATGACAGATCGTTTGACTGATGTGACATTAAAGACACAATAATGACTATACTCCAATCCTAATCTAGTTGGGGCGGCCATATGAATCCTTAATATCCACCCCGTTCCATCTCGACTCTTTACATTTTAATACTCAATCATTTGCCTTTTAAGACAAGTTATGGGTTCTAGAAGTTCTCTACATTTTCTATTAACATAAAATTCCTAGATAAACTAAAAGCCTCCTAATCAACACCAAACTTACTGTCAATTTCTTAATCCAACTAGTTGGTACCGCTTGTGAGGATCTTTTGCTTCTACAATTCTATTGTCTTTTGTTCTTCGCCAAGAGAAGAAGACCGATTTTGAGATATTGTAGGTTTTTTTAGACAGCTTTCTTTCACATGAAAAATAAGATATTGGAAATATATTTTTGTGCGACTCCAGAGAAGTATAATGTCAGTGCTACCATTGTAGACAATTGCAATCTCGAAATTCAACTTCCCTTATATAACCAGCAGGACTTAGCTTAAAGTCCATGATTTGATCCAAAGGGCACACCGTATAATTAACTTTCATTTGGTGGTAAATAAAACAGGTGAACTAATTTATATTAGTACCTGTGACACATATCATAGACACCCATTGCAATGCCTATAGGTTGCCACGAGACCATGACACGTGATACAGCAAGCACCTGTTCAGGAAACAACGTATAAACTGTCAAGACAGTTTCAGCTACTTAATTAATTGGAGGTGCCAAAATATTGGCAATCACTTAAAGGACGCGATTATAAATGACAGAATTTCAAGAAAATGAATTGCCAAGATGCATGCTTGTAGCACTGGGAGTAAACAAAATCATTATAATGAGAACAGTTGTTTCATCAATTAGTAGGCCTATCACACTAGGAATAGATCCATTAGCAAACACTGAAAATATGGGGATTGGAGGAATTAAAAATGTAATCCATTTCTTTTTTTGGATGCCTATGTATTTTCCTTCTTTAATGAATTTAGAGAACATTTTCGGTTTTTCTTTTTGGGGGGTTGGGAGGGTGAGAAGGAGGGGGCTTCTGTTGGATGACAGGTATATTTTCAAGAATTTTAGAAACTTTATTGGCATGACTAGAAACATACATTCATTCATTCTCTTAAGCTTTTTGATTCTTGCTCCCTAGTCAGACCAAACCATTAGTGACAAACCTTTTAGTGTATTAAACCAATAAAAACATCAAGATGATCCTTCGGCTCAAAGATTTATTAGTAGAAGTGTAGAACAAGCTTAGGTGCAAATTTTGCATCATCAAAGCATTGCAGCCACACAGCCATACCTTGCTTGTATCCTGGAAAGAACTGACGCCAGGTAGTCTATCCTCATCTGGAACAAATACATTCTTTAAGAGAATATCTCCATTTTGAACCATCCGCAGCCCAATCTTGTTTTCTATTTTAGTAGCTTGCAAGCCTGGAGCATCCTTCTTTACTATGAAACTGAGACAAAAAAATAACCAATTTTGAGACAAAAATAAGTGTTCAGGACGGAGAGAGACCCATGAGCAAAGTGACCTTCACTTTACACAACTAAGCATGATAGTCATACCTCTAGAATCTATCCTGGGTATAAGAGCAAGTAACAACCAACTCGTTCTACAAGAAGGTTAAACGAAATCCTAAATATTAACATTTATCTTAAACTAAACCTAAGTCTTGAGATGGCAAAAGCTAGAACATGCTGGCTTTTTATCACAAGAGAAATTCAGAATGGCCTCAAGTCATGCTTGCAATAGGCGAAAGATGTGGTGAACTGGATCACATACCCATTTATTTGGTTTGTGGCTGTGTTTCTAGCAAAAATAACCAATACATCCGCAAAAGTGCTGTTTCCTATCCATCGTTTTTGCCCATCCAGGATCCAACCTCCTTCAACCTAACCATTAGAAATCAGAACAGCAGGGGAGCATGTTAAGCAGCCTTTACCCTAAAAAAAAGAACACAAATTGAAGAATGGCATAGAAATTAAAAAACAGGACTAAATTTTAGATTCTAAACCTTTCTGGCAGTTGTCCTCAAAGCACTTGCATCACTTCCATAGTCTGGCTCAGTTAGCCCCTAACTCCAAAAAGACATAGATTATAACTACTTATGTATGATAGAACAGATGCTAATGCTAAATCAATATCTAGAACCAAAATATCTTACCCAACAAGCTACGGTGCTAAGTTCAGCCAGAGATGGTAAGTATTTTTGCTTTTGCATTTCTGACCCGCATAGAGCTATTCTTGAAAGAAATCAATGTATAATAAGTTTTCTATCATTATTTTGAGACAACTGTATCTGAAAATACCCAGGATAAATAAAAATGGTGCGAGCAGAAACTTTGGATAATAAAAAAATTTACCAATAGTGAGCATTGCCAAAGATGAATGCACCAAAATGAATGTCGAGCAGCTTGCATCAACTCTGGCAAGTTCTGCTAGAGCAACGGCACTTCCAGTTATTGAGAGACCTGGACAACCATACCCCTGAAGCCAAAAGTAAATAAATGCCTCATAGATGTTGAGAATCCAGGAAATGAAAGCTTATTATGCTCTATAGAAACACCTTTATAGTGCCACCAGATATGTGCAAAGCACCAAGTTTTGGAATGACTTCAAACGGAAACTCTGCTTTCTCCCAGTACTGCACAATCAAATTACGAAAGGGATAAGTCTCAAATGCTCAACTCCTTTCCTTAGAAATTTGAGTTCATAGGGAGCAGTAACTATATCAGCAACTAATATAGCCATGAATTGGAAAGATTTAACACATACAAGAAATACAGAGAACTAAAGAAATACCTTTGTCATTATAGGTGCAACTTCTTTTTCCATGCACTCTCTTACTTTCATTCTGATTGCTTTCTCTTCAGGAGTCAAAAGATCATCAAGCTGATAATAGTCCGAAGCTGTAAAGCTTACATCTCAGTTAGTGAAATCACCAGCATACATGTAACTGCAAAAATAATAGTCCGAAGCTGATACATGATCTTTTCAAATGTTAATCCCAAGTAAATCGAGCTGCTCAGCTTGAATATCAAACCACATCGTAACAAAAACAACTCAATCCTTAAAGAAAAGAGAGCAACACAAATTTGTTTTCCAAAGTGCAAGCAAAGTCTGGGCCTCCCAATTAGTGGCGACAGATTCAGAACTACCCATGAAAAACTAGCTGAGAAAGAACCAGCCAAGTGCCAAATAACCAAATTCGTACGCGAAAAGTGAGTGTCATCTGGCAATTCTTCAAAAGAGTACTTAGCTTCTTTCTTCGAACCATAAATGCAGTCAATACACTAATACAACAACAACTACTACCCCTCGATCCCAAATAAGTTGGGTTCGGCTATATGAATCCTCATTGATCATGTTATCCGTTTAATCTCATCTCATGCCAACAGCCAATATTATGCAAATACAAATAGAAAGTACTAAAAGTTATCTATATTTTCTAAACATACAAATCTCTGAGTCAATACACTAATAAGTAGAGTAAAAATCAATCCATCTTACCACATGTAGGAAAGTCGGACGCTGGAGTTGCTTGAGGAAATGCAGTGGAAACATCCAAAGCTGGTAAATCAAAATAGGAGCTTTTCGCCTCTTTATACATTTCCTCTGCATCACATTTACAAATATAAGTCCTTAATCAAATGAGCCACACAGAGTGACTGAAGCACAAACAGAATTACTTAATTAACATCATACTAATTTAAGTTTAAATTTCATAAAAGATGATATGTTACAGCAATTTTTGCCAGATTTAACAAATATCTTAGCTTTTTCACCATCCAATGATTCTAAAGTTCAAAACAAAGGAATGATCACTAACTATTTAAAAAGATTGACATCTGTTTTTTCTGACATAAAAAAGTATTTATATTAATATTATTAATATTATTTAAAAACCATATTCAACAAACCAGTAATCCCCAAAATCTTACTGATAGGAAAAAAAAAATTGTACCTTTTTGCCTTGCAATTAACTAAGGTATTTCATTTCCTTTAACTTTTCAGTATTTCAAAGACTGATAATTTCATTGCATTTGATTCTAAAGAAATTACAATTTATTATTCTCTTTGAAGAACCAAAACTTTAAAATCATAATTACATTAAAAAAAGAACCCAGCAATTTTCTCCAAATGGAAAAAGGAAAAAAAAAACCACCTTGAGTTCTTGTTGATGGAACTTTCATGAAGATACAAGCGAGGATTGTGTCAAGTCCCGAGCTGAGAAAGAGTGGATAAAGAAACTACAACAAGAAGAAGAACGAACAATGTTCGGCACGCAAATCTAGGTGAGTTTCTTTAAGAATTTATTTGATTGATACATGGAACGACTGTCATATTTGTTCATTATTGTCAACAATTCATTTTGCGTGATTTGACTGAACACAACAACGTTTTTAATAAAGAAAGACTTTGTACATGATTAAGTACTACATTTTTAACTTTTAATTTATTGAAAAGTGTATTTTTTTGGTCCGTTCATACAAAAAATAGGTGACGGTAAAGTTGTATATGTGTGACATATAGGTAAGTGATTCAAGGTGTGGAATAATAATGATACTTCATGCTTGCATTATGGTATAATTACATCACACCCCTTGAGGTGCTATCCTTCCCCGGACCCTGCGTCCAAAATGCGCGATACTTTGTCCACCAAACTGTCCTTTTTATATGGATAAACATGTATATTTAATTTTTTTTTAAATTATATTATCCTCAGTTATAGAATAACAACACAATAATATATGGATAATCAAATGATGTAATGGTTAATAAAATTCGGAAGATGAAAGTAGCAGAGATGAGGATGCTGAGGTGGATGTGCGGGCACATTGAGATTGATAAGATTAGGAATGAAGATATTCGAAAGAAGGTGGGTGGAGCCCTTATGGATTACAAGCTGCGGGAAGCAAGCTCAGATGGTTCGGGCACGTTCAGAGGAGAAGCCGAAATACCCTGGTGAGGAGGTGTGAGCGGTTGGCTTTGGTGGGTACAAGGAGAAGTAGAGGGCGGCCTAAGAAGTATTGGGGAGAGGTGATTAGGCAGGATATGGTGTGGCTTCAGATTACCAAGGACATGGCCCTATACAGGAAGTTGTGGAGGTCGAGCATTAAGGTTGTAGGTTAGGAGGTATTTGTGCATATTTCTACAGCGCTCTAGAGTGAGGCTAGTCTGTTAGGATTTAATGGACGTTTGGACATAAGAATTGTAAAATTCCAAAATATGGGGGAAAAAATTCAAGTGAAAATGATATTTGAAATTTAGAGTTGTGTTTGGACATGAATATAGTTTTGGATTATTTTTGAAGTTTTGTGAGTAATTTGAGTGAAAATTTTGAAAAACAGTTTTTTGGAGTTTTTAAAATTTTTGAAAATTTTCAAAATGCATTTTCAAGTGAAAATTAGAAATTTTATGAACAAACGCTGATTTCGAAAAAAAATAATTTTTTTTTTTAAAAAAGAAAAAATTTCTTATGTCCAAACGGGCTTTTAGTCTTAGATTGGTAGTGGTTAGCATTGAGTTCTCACTACTCTTTGGTTCCTCTTAGTGCTGGGCTTTATCTATTGATTATTGTTTTGCTTTTCATCTATTTTCCGGTTCTTGTGGTGTTGTTATTTTTATATAGTTTTTATTGATGATATTGATATATTGCCTCTTTTCGTCTTCTTGAGTCGAGGGTATTTCAGAAACAGTCTCTCTATTCCTCGGGGTAGGGGTAAAGTTTGTGTGCACACTACCCTTCTCATACCCCATTAGTAGGATTTCACTGGGCCGTTGTTGGTGTTGTTGTTACAAGTAAAGAAGTCAAAATGCATATTTCAATTAATTGAAGAGTAAATATGTTTAATTGGATATTACAAGGAACATCAAGATTTTTGATTTTTGAGAAACACTGGAAAACGATTTCCTACCACATAATTTATTGAGACTTTAGTATATCTTAATGGATAGTTGAGTTAGTAGATTTCTTAATGGCTAGTTGAGTTAGTAGATTTGTTGAGTTTGTGGAATAATACATGGAAACGTGGAATCCCCTTTTTATACAAGGCAAAAGTTGAACCGAATAGAACATCATTTTGAAGTACCTAATTATGATGCTTTATTAGTTTTTAAGATATAAAAATATTAGGTAATTCAATTTGTAAGTAGGTTTGGGTCTGGACTATGGAGGTTTTAAGGTCTAAAAAAGACTAGTTGCGGGAGGCCCGTGCTAAGGCCGGGCCCAAACTCAAGATATTTTTTCTTTGAATTAATAATCTTTATTTTTTAATTAAATAAGTTTAATTTGTGCCACATTTTTCTACTGCATAATTAATTTAATATAGTGACACATGTCTTGTTGATAAGTCTTCATAATTATTAAAGTTTCTTAGTTACATAATTGGATAATTTTCTTAACGAAAAAAATATTTATGAAGAAGCAAGTTTGGCTGGAGAAATAGCAAGTACCAAAGTGTAACGATCCGACCGATCGTTTTGAATATTTACGCTCTTTTCAACTATTTAAAATCTTGAATAATTTCCTACGAGGTATTATGACTTGTGTGAATTGTTGGTTTTGGTTTTAAGGTATTTCGGAGTTAGCTTGGAAGAATAAATTTTCAGGTTGGAAGTTTAAGTTGAAATAGTTTACCGGATATTGACTTATGTATTAACGACCTAGGAATTTAATTCTGATGATTGCAATATCTCCGTATGGTGATTTGAACTTAGGAGCGTGTACGAAAAATTATTTGGAGATCCGTAGTGGAATTAGGTTTGAAATGCATAAAGTTAAATTTTGGGAAGTTTGACCGGGGGTTGACTTTTTGATATTGAGGTCAAAATCTGATTCTGAAAATTTGAATAGCTTCGTTATGTCATTTATGACTTGTGTGCAAAATTTAAAATCATTCCGGATTGATTTGATATGTTTCGGCACATGATATAGAATTTGAAAGTTCAAAATTCATAAATTTTGATTTGAGGTGCGATTCGTCTTTTTGATGTTATTTGATATGATTTGAGGCCTCGAGTAGGTCCGTGTTATGTTATAGAACTTGTTGGTATATTTGGTTGAGGTCCCGAGGGGTTTGGTGTATTTTTGGATCATTGGTTGAGAGATTAATAAAGTTAAGAAATTGGGGAGTTTGGCCATGGTCATTATCGGGTCAAGACGACCCATTTTCAGTATTTTGAGTGCGCGAGCAGGTCCGTAGCGTATTTTATGATTGAAATTCATATATGATTTGTGTCAGGGAGGTTCCAGATGAGTTTCGGGATGAGTTTTGAGCGAGTCCGGGCATTTCAGCACTCTAATATTGTTCTGGCACTTTCGGGGACGCGGACCGCGCATTTTTGGGCGCTGAGGCGAAGGAGGGACGCAGACCGTGCATTTTTAGGCGCTGAGGCGAAGGAGGGACACGGACCGCAGCAGAATTTCGCGGCCGCGCTTAAAATTTCGTGGATCGTGCAATTCTGTCCGCGGCCGCGCTCCAGGAAGTTCTGCAGTTCCGCTGGTCCGACTTCGGAAGCCTATATCTTTTGATCTACAAGAAATTTTGTGATGATTTAAAAACTAAAGTTGTAGCCCTTCGTGTGTAGTTTCCCGAAAGGTAAAGAAGTCAGCATTTGGACATTTGTAGAGAAAGTTATAGCCAAAATTTTAAAGCCTGGCAGTGCAGCCCAAAGAATTTCGCGGCCGCACCATTTATTCGCGACCGCCGGACCTGGGGCGCGGCCGCGCTTGGAATTTCGCTGACCGCAAAATTGGAGTTCAGAGGATGTACTATATATCCGAGATTTAGGTTATTATTTCATATTTTGGACCTAGGAAGCTCGGTTTGTGGCGATTTTTCATGGGTTTTTCAAGAAATTCATCGGGGTAAGTGATTCTAATTCGAATTCGGTTAATATACATGAATATATCAATGATTTCATCATCAGATTAGTACTTTGAGGTGAAAATTTGGAAAAAATTGTAGAAATTTTATAAAATAAATTTTCGAGATTTGAACACCGATTCGGAGTCGGATTTGAGTAAAATTAGTATGGTTGAACTTGTAATTGGATGGGTTGTCGGATTTTGTGAATTTCATCGGATTCCGAGATGTGGACCCCACGGGTATTTTTGGGGCGTAATTTCGGATTTTGTGAAAATATTAGTATTTTGATATGGAATTAATTCTTATAAATTTTGTGGGCTGAATCAAATTAATTTTGACTAGATTCGAGCCATTTGGAAGTTGATACGCGCAAAGTGGAATTGCTGGAGTATTGCTTAGCTTGCTCGATATTGGAAGTAGCTTGTTCGAGGTAAGTAACTCTTATTATCTTGGAGTTGAGGGTATGAACCCTGAATATATGTATTTCGTGAATTGTTGGGAGGTGACGCACATGCTAGGTGTAGAGCGTGTGAGCGTGCACTATAAAAATTATGACATAATTATTTATGTGGAATTTTATAGTTAAATGATCTTGGTATTTTCCATGCAGTTTTATGAGTTAAAGAAATTGAGCTGAAAAGCATACTAAAAATCATGTTGAGGCTATGTGCCAGTATTATTGGGACCCACATAGGTCATATTATTGTGAATTATTTATTTTAAATTAAAAATTCATACTCAGTCATATTCATTTCATTGCATATCATATCTCAAACTCTGTTGTTATTTATTGATACATCATATCATCATTTTGGGCTATTCTCATGGCATTGTGAGCCCATGAGAAAGAGACTGGAGAGATTGATGACTGAGGGAGGCCGAGGGCCTGATTGTAAAGATATTGTTTGTTGGGATCGGGCTGTATGCCGCAGCAGGCCATGTTGGCTTTTATATATATTATACTATTGCACGTGAGTTGGCCGTGCAGCACGTGAGTTGGCCGTGCGGATCCATATATTATACTATTGCACGTGAGTTGGCCGTGCGGATCCAGATATTATTATAGCATGTGAGTTGTCAGTGCAGCACGTGAGTTGTTCGTGCGGATCCAGATATGATATTATAGCACGTGAGTTGTCCGTGCAGCACGTGAGTTGTCCGCGCCTATAGCGCTTGAGCTGTAGGAGCCCCTCATGAGTCTGTACACACCCCCAGTGAGCGCAATCAACTATAAACAGGGATCGGGCTGTACGCCGCAGTAGGTATTATATAGCGCTGAGTGATTGAGTGTGCTGAACATAGTGAGAGAGAATGCGAGACAGTGAGATAGAGTACTCTGAGAGTGTGAGTACAATCTCTGAGATACATTGCATTGACATACACACGTGACATACATGCATAGAGATGTGTTTTTTA